CACCACTGCCCTGCTTTCCTATGGCTTGCTAATAGCTCTGACCCCCGGGCAACTTTATTTATTAACATACAAATAACATTTTAATACAAATAAAATATCACCATAGTTGTGTTTCCCTTTTTTGGTCTTTGTTGGTGTGGGATTATCTATTGCCTGAGTTTTCATGGGTGTGTTTAATTTCCTTAGGTTGGATTTTTCCTTCTAGTGCTTTCTGTAGGGCTGGATTTGTGGATAGGTATTGTTTAAATCTGATTTTACCATGGAATATTTTGTTTACTCCGTCTATGGTGATTGAGAGTTTTGCTGGGTATAATAGTCTGGGTTGGCATCCGTGGTCTCTTAGTGTCTGCATAACATTTGTCCAGGACCTTCTCGCTTTCATAGTCTCTATTGAGAAGTCTGGTGTTATTCTGATGGGTTTGCCTTTACATGTTACTTGGTCTTTTTCCTTTGCAGCTCTTAATATTTTTTCTTTGTTCTGTATGTTTACTGTTTTGATTATTATGTGGCAAGGGGACTTTTTTTTTTTTGATTCAGCCTATTCAGTGGTCTGTAAGCTTCTTGTATCTTCATAGGTATTTCTTTAAGTTAGGAAAGTTTTCTTCTATGATTTTGTTGAATATATTTTCTGTGCCTTTGAGTTGGTATTCTTCTCCTTCTTCTATCCCTATTATTCTTAGGTTTGGTCTTTTCATGGTGTCCCAAATTTCTTGGATGTTTTGTGTTACAACTTTTTTGGCTTTAGTGTTTTCTTTGACTGACAAATCTATTTTCTCTATTGTGTCTTCAACATCAGAGATTCTCTGTTCCATCTTGCATTCGGTTGGTTATGCTTGCTTCTGTAGTTCCTGTTCATTTAGTCAGAATTTCTATGTCCAGCTTTCTCTCAGTTTGTGTTTTCTTTATTGTCTCAATTTCAATTTTCAAATCTTGAACTGTTTCCTTCATCTGTTTAATTATTTTTTCTTAGCTTTTTTTGATTTCTTCCAATTTTTTGTTTGTTTTTTCTTCCATTTCTTTAAGGGAATTTTTTATTTCCTCTTTAAGGGAGTTTTTCATTTCCTCTTTTAAGGGCCTCTATCATCTTCTTCAAGTCATTTTTAGGATTAATTTTTTTCTGCTGCTTCTGCGTTGGTATGTTCAGGTCTTTCAGGTGTCGAAACACTAGGTTCTGATGTTGCCATATAGGTCTTTATGTTGTTGCCTGTATTTTTGCACTGGCGTCTACTCATCTCTTCCTCTGCTTGGTGTAGGCCGTGTCTGTGTCTGAAGGTGCCTCTCTTGTTCTAATTGATAGTCTTGGTCCACTAGGAGTTCTTGGTCAAATCAGTGCTGTTGGGCTCTGTTTCTCTGGGAGCAGCTTAGTCCAATCACTGTTAGTGGGTTCTGTCTCAGGGAGCAGTTGTTCCCAATTGGTGCAGGATGTGCTTATGGCTCCCAGTAGTTGTTGGGTTCATAGGGGTTGGGTTTTTTTTGTTTTTTGTTTTTTGTTTTTTTGGTGGGGGAGCAGGGAAAGGTAGCTGTCTGGTCCCTGGGACTCCAATGGGTGGGGCCTAGGGGCTAGAGACCTGATCTGCCGGTGCGGAGATGGGGGCTTACCTGTTCCCAGTCAGTGTAGGGTAGGCTTATGATTCTGGTGATCTGGTTTGGTGGCTGGGTGGCACCTTCTTTTGTGTTCTCAGGTTGAGTTTTGCTCATTCGTCAACTCCTCAGCTGATCTTGCTTCCTCAGACTGCAGACTGTAGGCTTCTGAAACCTCTCCCGAATGGATCTCCGCTGAGCAGGTTGTTCAGTAGAGCAATCTCACCAACACCTCCAAGTTGTTGGGTTTCGTAAGATCAGCAGCTGGGCCCTGGGTTGGCCTCAGGCAGAATCGAGATTTCTTAACTAAACTATTTAACAAGCTTATAGAAGAGATTTCTTAACTAACATTTAGAAGAGATTTCTTAGAAGAACTATTTACCAAACTTATATTTAAGAGGAAACTATTAGCAAACATCTAGAAAGGATCTCTTGACAGAACTAACCCATTTTCTTTCAACAAGATAAGAGAGTAAACAAATCATAAGTGAACTTAACACTGCTTTATTTCTAAGTTCACAATCAGTTTTGATATCCTTAAAGTTCTCCTGATGGTTGGCAACTGGAGCCTAATTCACCAATGGCTCCCTCAACCCTGGGATTTAGTGAGTGCTGTTGCTAAACAGTACTTTATGTATTCCAGATCTTTTATAAAGACTCTATTAAGAGCTATCTCAGTTTACAGCAAGCTCAAAAAGGAAAAAAAGAGGATGAGGAGAAAAACCTCCTAAGGAACATTCTGTTTCTGGATTACTCAGCTGGCAACTCCACAACAGTCAATTTTCCATCAGGAGAAGATAATTGTCTAAGTTAGAGTGAGGTTCCAGACCTGCGGCCTTCAGCAGGTGCCCCTGTGTACCAAAAACATTGCAGAAACTCCATCCCGAACTCCTCAGCAGTCTGGAGGCCTCCTTATTCTCCTACTGTCTGCTGTGTAGGAGCCCAGGGCGGCAGTCCAGGTTCGAACCTGAAAATAAAGACTGTTGTGTGCTTGCATTGGGAACTGGCTCCTTGGTGGTCTCTGGGGGATTCACGATATGGGCACAACACCTCAGCTTGCTGGAAGTAGGGATCCAGGGGGAAGCTACTGCTCTGCAAGGAAGTTTGCTTTTCTGATGAACCTCAGGGGTCACACCAGGGACAGGAAAGAGCACATTCAGCAAGAACTGATGTCAGTAAAGCAGAGAAGAGGGAAGTCAGTGGCCTGAAGGCAGGGTGGAGAAGGAAAAGAGCATGGTTTGCCTAATCTGGCCTGCAGGTGGGGAGACCCAGGAAGCTGCAAGTGGATCACTTTCAAAGAAAAAAGAAGAAAGGGCCCCATAGGCAAAAGGGGGCCTCAGAGCCTCCCACCTTTCTCTGTAGTAAAAGAACAGCCTTTGTGCTTTGATGCATTTTCTAACTCATCCACATGGGTATGTCTTGCTCTTGAAAAAATAACGTCTTTTATAAAGTAACGGTGTTTGAAAGGACCTCCAAGTTGGCACAAGACACCTCAAGGCCAAGTTCTCAGCACAGAGGAGATTTATTTACCCCAGAGGGACAAAGGGCAGGGAATAAGAGACAAAGACAGGAGACAGAGGATGAGGGAGAAGGGGAAGGGAACAAGGGAGAGGGGAAAGGGGTATTTGTCCTGGGGGTGGGGAAGACTGCCTGTAGATAGAGAGGAGACAGAACTGGTCCATAGGCAAATGGCAATTTATAAAGGGAAAGGGGAAATCTTGTATAATATTAGAGGGACCAGCCTTAACATTATATATCCCAGGGGCTCAGGAGAGAGAACTACTAACAGCGAGGACTATTTTCAGGAAATAGAATCTCAGCACACCGAGCTCTATAGTCCACTTGCTTTAATTCCTTTGGCATAACATCCTTTATACCCAGCTTCAGTTCTGTTCTCATGCCTAGCTCCTTTCTTGCCTGATTTCTCTCTATATTTATCTACTGCTCACTCTAAGTTCTATCTTAATTCTCTTGTCTTAATTCTACCTCATTTAGGTCCTTTTCACTTTGTTCTTACCCAGCTAGGGCTTCCCCATCTGACTCTTCCTCATCTTCCATCTTGTCCACACGTACTCTCTGGTCAAAATCCTCCTTATCCCTCTCCATTCTCCACATTCCTCCTAAGTCTCCCAGGAATCCAGTTATAAACCCAAGAAATAGCAAGCCCCTGCCTGGTCAATCAAGGTCACCAGGCTTGAATTCTACAGGGTCATAAAGGCAGGTAAGAATTTTCCTCAGGCAGTAACCACCAGGCTTTCTTTTACAATCCAAAATGGGAGTGGTAAAAGAGGAGGTCAGCTGAGTGCTAATGACTAGTTAGTATATCAAAAAGGGGATCCACGTGCTCAGTCTACAGTACTAGAAGTGGTTAGGTAAGAAGTTAGGGGTCTGTTAGTAAGGTTGTATAAGAGAGGAGGGTCTCACCCTAAATTGCAAAAGAAATAAAGCTATCCGCCTGACCTAGGAGACAGATGTTGTTTCGTATGGCCTTGGATGCTTGATAGGCATTTTAGATAAATACACTAAGTATTCTTGGAAGCACACAAGAAAATCATTTTAGGAACCAGCTAATATATATACAAAAGCTAAAATATCACCAAGACTCCTTAAGGCATGGCTTGACCTTTGGAGAAGTCCTTGACTTTTCCAAGTAGTAACTTTTGTGATAGTAGCTGAATTCTATTATGTTTTCCTGAGGCTTGCAGCAGGGAAACCCCTTGTTAGGATGGGGTGGTATATGTTAATTGGACATGTTAATTAGGTGGGCCAAAGGAGACTTTTGATTGCTGGACTTCAATACTTTGATAGATGGACCTTGCCAGTCAGCCTCAGGAGGAAGAAGTGGCCTAATCAGGGAACAGACCTTGGTGGCTAACTTTAAGAATGTAATCTAGCCGGGCGGTGGTGGCGCACGCCTTTAATCCCAGCACTCGGGAGGCAAAGCCAGGCAGATCTCTGTGAGTTCGAGGCCAGCCTGGGCTACAGAGTGAGTTCCAGGAAAGGCGCAAAACTACACAGAGAAACCCTGTCTCGAAAAAAAAAAAAAAAGAATGTAATCTAACAGTTTAGCAAGGCAGAGGAAATAGGGGAAAGGCAAGGCCTGTCAGAGCCATGTTTGCCATGCTGTGTTGGCCATAGGAACTCTGCCCAGGACTCTGAGTCAGTCCACAGATGATGGGCACAGGGGAAATGCACGGACAAGTGGTGAGAACAGGGCAGTGACTTCTGTTGCTTCCTTAATAGATGGAGAAGAAGCAAGACACGGAGCGACAAAGGCACCTCCTGGACATTGGACATCACACAGCCAGTGAGGGACTGCCAGAGGCCAAGACCTGGCCTGATTGGTTCTAATTCGGTGACAAACAAATGGCTGAGGAGACTGGTGATCTAACCAACCTTCTCCTGACAAACCTGACAACCTTCTCCTGGCAAACAGGCTCCTCTGGTGGCTGGGACCCAAATCCAGAGACAGAAAGAGAGGAACCCTCTGGGAGTTGCCAGTTGTAAATACAGGGCCTCCTAGAGAGCTTCTGACACAGCAGCTGCCCAGGGGCCAACAGAAGGAAGGCCAGCTGGAGGTCAGTACCACAAGCAGAGCAGCCTCAGCACGCGCTTGGCACCCTAGCTGTATCCATCTCCTGTCACCCGCTCTTTGACTACTCCAGCCACTCAGGTCCCCATGGGCACCGTGCTCACTGGCTGCAATGACTCTGGACTTGCTATACCCAACCCTAGCCAGGCCAATGCCAGACTTTGCAGTAGGTAGGAATTAAGGCATGCAGAGCAGTCAGAATGGCCTGGAGGGCCCAGGCCCAGCTCCCTCCAGGCCCAACGGCCAGCTAGTACCTCATACTCTCTCAGCAAGGCTACTTCTGTCTGTTGTGCACATGAACGGGAGGCTGAGGAGCTCTTAGCACAGTGCCTGGCTCTTAGGGGGCTCAGTGGTTAGCAACACCATTAAGCTGTTTCCTGCGCTTCTAAGGAGCCCGTTGTCCAACCTTGTTTTTCAGAGCTAATTCTTCAGGAATCTTTCCATCAGTAGTCTCCAAGTTTGTTGAGGGCAACTGTCTTCACTAAGGATGAAAAACAGAAGAGGAAGGTGGGGGAGGAAGAGGAAGGTGAAGGATGAGGAGGTGGCGGTGTCCTCACACCCACAAATCCCCAGTGTTGGCCACGAGAGTGGGCTAAGCACAGCGCTGTTTGCATGTGGTTCCCTGAAGGCTGAGTTTGTGAGTATTGTACTCACGTGCCACAGAGTACCACTGGGTGGGGGGCTGGTCATCTGCTGACACACAGGAAGTGTGCCTGCCTTTAACTTGGGCTCCTTGTCAGGAAAAAGCTGAGTTCTGAGGAATCCAGGCAGGAAAAGCCTTCACCACATACACTGCTCGCTAGTGTCTCGACTCTGGAGCCAGGGACTCAAGGAGTAGCTCCTGTACCCAGAGGAATGGGGTGGCCTACCCTATGGGCCCTCTCAGCACTACTCTGTCTCGGCCCCTCCCAGGCCCTGGGCCAGGAGGGAGGTGCCTGTCCAGGTGAGAGGGGTCTGCTCAGGAATGTGGGCACACGCATACCTGTATATGCCTGCAGGTGTGGCAGCAGGAAATGGGACATTAGAAGAGCAGCTTGGGAACACATCCAGAGGCAGGCTGTCACTCAGCCTCCTTGGGGTATGAGTGGATGCAGAAAGCTGTGATTTTTCACTGTCACTCCAAAGCCACCCCCCCTTTTTTTTTTTATCTTTTTATTCTGTGCAGATGTTAAGATTATAGGTCTGGGGGCCCAGGACAAGGTGGCTGTCATCCAAAGTTGCCCTGCCTTCCCTGGCCCACCAGGGCCCAAAGGGGATCGTGGCAGCCCTGCTCAGAAAGGTAGAGATCTGGATAGGGGGGATTGCCCTGTGACCTCCCCCTTGGTCAGTCCTCCAGTCCCACCTAGGGCATGGGATCCAGTTTAGTTCCTGTGTTTGCAGGAGAGCGGGGCTTCCAAGGCAACCCAGGGAAGATGGGGCCTGCCGGCAGCAAAGGTAAGAGGAAACTCTCCTATGGGTCTCTCTGCCCAAGATCCAGACAGGATTTGGGAGCAGTACCCATCGCCCCTTGGCCCACATACCCACCTCCCCTGTGCGCTATCTAGCTGCATGCTGCCTACCCACTTCCTAGCAGGCTGGGTATTCAGGTCTCCCTCCTACAAGCTCTGCTCACATGGACACCTAGGTGTACACACACACACACACACACACACACACACACACACACTGCAGTGAAGAGGAGCCTCCTCCCTTGTGGAGGCCAGCACTGTAAGAATGTCCCTTCTATCTACAGGAGAGCCGGGAACCATGGGACCCCCAGGAGCCAAAGGTAAGCCTGGTAACCAAGGCGTCTCAGGAAGGGAGCAAGGAGGACAGCTCCACATGGAGCAATACAGGGTTAGGGTCTTGTTGGTCTGAGGGAGGCCTTGAGCACAAAGAGGGGAGGATGGTCCCAGCAGCACCACTCCAGGATCCCCCAAAGTTTTCCTGGCTCCCTATGCATATCGGAATGTTGGGGGCTCACAGACCAGAGGAGAGGCTGGATGCTGGGGGGCAGTGCAGGGCAGAGGATTTGGCAGGATTCCAGCTCCGGGACTAGGCGGGTATGCTGTATTCCTCCAGGGGAGAAAGGCGACATGGGAGCAGCATCATCCCTGGGTAAGTACATCCCGAAGTCTCTTTACAGTTCCCAGCATCATTACCCTGTGGTTGCGAGTAAAGGAAAACGAGCCCTGACTGGGGCTCAGGGAACCCCGAGTGATAGCAAAAGGGCAGCGGAAAGGCACTGAAGCCCAAAGACACAAGGAGGAAGGACTCCCACCCACCCACCCACCCACCAGCCCAGCAGCCCAGCAGCAGGGGTTGACGCGGCCTGAAGCATCACTGTGCCCAGCCTGCCTCCCAGCCAGAACCCTGACGTATCCCAACCACAGACATAGTCACAGACAGGACAAAGCACAGACGGCAGCCAGACACATAAAGGAGCCTGAGGGCAGCAGGGGCAGCCGGGATGGGTGTGCTGGGCTCTTCAGCAAGAGGGTCAGCACCAGCTATGCCAAGTAGAATATGGAGTGCTAGGGGACATATCTGTGCTGGGAAGGGACCAAGGAAGAGACTGACACTCATGTCTCCTGCCCAGATGAGAAGGAGCTAGGAGACGCCCTGTGCCAGAGAGGTAAGTGACCTCCCAGCTGGCCCCTCCCACCTCCTGCCAGCAAGAATACAGCGCAGGAACCCACATTACTGGATCCTTTTTCTTGATCCTGGAGCACACCCCAGGTACAGCCCAATCCTGCCTGCTTCCCCATGGTACAGGGCCCCGGAGCTGCAAAGACATGCTGGCACAGGGGACCTTCCTGACTGGCTGGTACACCATCTACCTTTCTGACTGCCGGCCACTGACTGTGCTTTGTGACATGGACGTGGATGGTGGGGGCTGGACTGTGAGTAAGAAGGCTCAATGCAGAGCATGTGAGGTTTGTACATGACAGCCACCCTCAGGAGAACCAAAGGCAGATGCCAGAGAGATGGCAAATTAACCAGAAAAAGAAATGGAGTGCCTCCACAAAGGAAACCCTAAGCACTGATGGACCAGAATCTAGAATTCTGTGGAGTGAGCTAAGTGGGCGATAGGACCCCAGTCATGACAGATGCATCCAAACATTTGGCAGCCCTGTGCTTTGCACTGGGACACTAGAGGCCATCAGTCACCTTTGTATTCACCTCTGCCACCTGCCTCCTGAAGCCTTGTCCTCATCCACTTCCTTATAGGGGCAAAAACAGGGGTGGCCTGGACGTATCCCTCAAGTCTCTACTCCTCAGAGCCCCACCCCCACAGGCTGCCCTGCCCACCCCACAGGTTTTTCAACGACGAGCAGATGGGTCCATCGATTTCTTCCGAGATTGGGACTCCTATAAAAGAGGCTTTGGCAACCTGGGCACAGAGTTCTGGTTGGGCAATGACCACCTGCACCTGCTCACGGCCAATGGTGAGAAAGCGGCACCTCCTCGGCCAGCGCCTGCCTTCCACTGCTCTGCCTGGCCTCAGCCTTTTCCTTCCTTCCACCCATGCGGCTAGGGATCCAAGAGCTCCGGGTCGACTTTCGAGATTTCCAAGGCGGAACCTCCTATGCCAAGTACAGCTCATTCCAGGTGTCTGGAGAACAGGAGAAATACAAGCTGACCCTGGGGCAGTTTCTGGAGGGCACTGCAGGTAAATCACACAGAACGCTTGAGGCTATTATTGGGGACATAGAAAGGGACCTGCAAGCCGCCTTTGCCCATCTGGGATGAGCTCTGCCTTAGCCCTGAGGGCTGATAGGTGTGAATTTTTCCAGGAGACTCCCTGACAAGTCACAGCAACATGTCGTTCTCAACCCATGACCAGGATAATGACGCAAATAGCGGGGGGAATTGTGCAACTTTATACCATGGGGCCTGGTGGTATCAAAACTGTCACAATTCCAACCTCAATGGGCACTACTTGTCTGGCTCCCATAAGAGCTATGCGGATGGGATCAACTGGTTCACAGGCGGAGGCTACTACTACTCCTACAAGGTTGTTGAGATGAAGATCCGGGCATCCTAAGGTGCCCCTACCCTCCCCGCTGCAGCCATGTCCAGGCCAGGTGGAGGAGCTGAAGGAAGGGATCAGGAGATGGTGTCTGTATGCTGTCTGTTGTGTGCTCCCTACACTCCCCTCTGGACACTGTCCAGCACATGAACAGTGTGCACTAATAAAAGTCAAAGAAGCAAAAATGGCGGCCTGAACTCTGTAGCGGTAAAGGGCAGCAGGCACGCGAGGTCCCCAAACATCCACGGTAGCCTCGAGGCTGAGACCCAGAGAGTCACCGAGACTACAGCAGTGGGGAGGAGTCAGCACAGCCTTCCAAGACCCGCTTCGGGGAACAAACCCATTACTGAGTGGAGAGACCAAAGGGAAGCCAACTCGGGGCCTGCTGCAGCCCTGGACAAGGGTCTCATGGGGCTTGGAGTCACTTCCCATAGCCTCTCTACCACAGCAACTCCATGGCCACTCTAGGCACAGAGGACATAGGTCAAAGTGGCCAGTGCTGAAAACAAAAGGCAGTTAAATGAGGGGTGATGACCTCAGGAACTCTGGGAAGACAGTAGACTGAATAGGGCCCAGATGGTGGGCACAGGGAAGCTTCAGGTGTCTGAGACTCAGCCAGAAGGAGCTCAAAGGCCGGTGAGGATGTGCACGCTACACCTAAGAGCAAACTGAGGCCCAAAGAACTGAGTAGTGCTGAGAGCCATCCCTGGCTTACTCTCAAGGGACAAGTGTCTCTCTCCCGAAGGTTCAGAGGGTAAGGCTTACAGTATAGCCCCACAGCCATGGAGCAAGTGGTTACAGTGCTATGGCTATGACGAGGCCCAGGCCCAGGAGTACAAATCCAGGATCCACCATGGAAAAAATGCTACATGTAGCCAATCAGGCCAGGAGCTCCCTGACCATTGGTGACCACACACCCGGCCTTCCACGGCTTCAGGATCTTCAAGGTCATTTGGCAGAGAAAAGTGGGCAGCAAGTACAGGAGGCAGAGGGAGCAACTTGAGTGAGACCTACTGGCCGGAGCCCCAAAATATCCAAGCTGACAGAGGACGAGTAGGATGGGTCCAGTACTAGGGGGATGCAAATGGTACTTTCATCCACACTGACACACAAGGCCATGGCAACAAAGCAAAGCGACTCCTTGGGGCAAATCTGGTGACACCAGGGACAGCCACTGCTCCCATGATAGGGAGGCTGCATCTTAGAGCCTCAGCAGGGAACACAAACCCAATCCTTGTCCTCCATAGAGCAGCAGGAGGAGCCAGGGGCAGGTGTAGAACCTGATGAAAAAGGGAGGCAACAGAGGCCTGGGTGAGAGGCTGGGGTGGGGATCTGACGACAGGGATCTCCACTCAGGCTCCCAAGAGTCCTGAAGGGAACAGGCACTGCCAACACCGGCTGTACAGTCTTCCTCATGTCCACTGTTAGGTACCAGTAAAGGCAGTTGATGGGACGTGGGGGTGCATTTTTATTTTTAGGAGCATCTGTGTTTCTCTAGGTTTCATACAAAGTATTAATTACTTTAATTAATAAGCAATAATCAATCTTTTTAAATTCCATGTTATATATGTGTTTTGCCTGCATATATGTCTGTACAGAATGTGTGTGCCTGGTACCTATGGAAGCCAAATGAGGATATCGGATTCCCTGGGACTGGAGTTACAGATGGTTGTGAGCTGCATGCGCATGCTGGGAATGGAACCCAGGTCCTCTACAAGAACAGCCAGAGCTCTTAACTGCTGAGCCATCTCTCTAGCACCCAATTGTCAACCTTTTTGCTGGGGGGGGGGGTGCATGCCTTTAATACCAGTACTCAGGAGGCAGAGGCAGGTAGATCTCTGAGTTTGAGGCCAGCTGGTCTACAGAGCAAGTTCCAGGACAGCCAGAGCTACACAAAGACCCTTGTCTTGAAAAACAAAAGCAAAAACAAGAACAAGAGGAGGAGGAGGAGGAGGAGGAGAAGGAGGAGGAGGAGGAGGAGAAGAAGAAGGAGAAAGAAACAGTGTGGGGGGCGGCTGGAGAGATGGCTCAGTAGATAAGAGCATTTACTCCTCTTACAGAGGACTGGAGTTCAGTTCCCAGCACCCATATCAAGCCTCTCATAGATGCCTGTAACTTGGATCCAGAGGAATTCAATGCTCTCCTGACCCATGCAGGCACCTACACACATGTGCACATACCCACACACAGACATACATGACTGAAAAATAAAAAGATGGAACTGAGGAGTTAGCTCAGTCTTTAAGTTCTTACCATACAACCACAAAGACCGGAGTCCAACCCCCTCCCTCCCCTCCCTTCTCTCTCTCAAACAGGCCCTCAAGTTTAGCCCAGACTGACCTTGAACTCAAAATCATCCTGCCTTCACCTCCCTTCACCGAGTGCTAGGATGACTCGGGTGCACACCACAGCCAGGTCCTCGACACACTTTTCACCCAGGCATAAACATCTGGCAAACCCTAACCCCACCCAAACCTGCCGTCCACAGTCTCTGAGCCCAACCCATACAGAGTCCTGCCACAGACAACCAGGCTATGCCACCAACAGGGCTTCTAATCTGGAGTGAGGGATCTGCAGGGACACGCCATGGAAGGCACACAACCCACTGCATTCCCTGAAACGCATTTACTGGCCCTCTCTGACTCTCATGCTCAGGTGGCAAAGTCAATATCAGGTAGTCTACCCACCTGTGTCCTTGCCCCTCTCCAGCTCCGAAACAAGCCCCAGAGTTCTTTTTCACATACCATCTAATAATCCTCCCCCCACAACCCCCTGCTCACACTTTCCAGAACGTTCAGCCCACCTGCTCCCCTCTGGGAGCCTCGTGGATGTCCTGGCCTCTCCCTGTCCAGCCAGTACCTTCTGACCTCCTGTGGGCAACCAGCCTAGCTCTATGGACTCCTCCATAGGATCCCAGCCCCTGACACAGAACAGGCACCAAAAATGGGCTCAGTTGAACTTCTGGAATTCCAAAAGTCTCTACTTCATTGTGACTTTTGGAGAGCCCTAACTGTAGTCTTATAGCAAAGCCCCATCTCACGTAAGAAAAAACGACCACTGCGCTCTTCAAGGAGTGACGAAAACCAGGGCTGCTTTCAGAGTCTCAAAACCCCCAAATTGAACTCTAAGACTTGCACCGGTCCAGGCGAAATCCAGTCCCTCCCCGCCCCGCCCCGCCCACATGAACTCCTCTAGGTTCCTCCCCTTAGGCGGGGCATTCGGGGACCTGACCCTCTCCGCTACGTTCTGCGCAGGCCCAAGTCTTAGGCCCCACCCCGCCTCCAGTCTGATCATCTTCCCTGGCGGAATCTGACCAACCATGGTGAATTTGGGCCTGTCCCGAGTGGATGATGCGGTGGCCGCCAAACACCCGGTGAGAAGGCTGGCCTCGGGTGCTGGATCTAGGCCTCAGAAGCTGACCTGAAGGCAGGGGGAGCCCCGTCAGGGGGCGGCGGAGGAGGGGACCCTCCTGCCATAGAGATAGAGACGCTGAATGAGTTTAGGGGAGGGTGGGATATATCCAGTCCCCAGTGTCCCTCTCCAAGGCTAGGTCGTGCCCAAAGGAGGAGCAGGAGGGAAGAAGGAAAGGGGACTGAGCCATGAACACCACCACCCTCATCCCAGGGTCTCGAGGAATATGCCGTGTGCCAGTCGAACGCCTTCATGAAGGGCGTTTTCACCCTTGTCACAGGTAGGCTGGTTCCAGGGGTCTTGGAGCGCAAAAAGAACACACCGTAAAGGGAGAAAAAAAATTGTAACCTACTGCCCCACCCTGTCTGCCCAGAAGGTGGCGCCAAGTCATCTTGCCTGCACTGCAAGGTGCGGTAGTCACCAAGACCATCACCTTGCAGGCTGACCAGTGGTTCCTTGGCTCTTGGCAGGCACTGGTGCGACTTTTGGCCTGCAGCTGTTCATTAAGCGGAAGTTTCCATACCCTGTGCAGTGGAGCTTCCTGGTGGCTGCCGGTGAGTTCTCCATGGTGGGTGCCTAGGCCCTGAAATACATCCGTTGCCGGGGACTCTACGGATATTGGTGTGTTTCCGATAAAGACCCGAATGTGATCCAGCCCCAGTTTTGGCTGGAGCCCACCCACCCTGTGCGGAAGCTGAGGTCCTCAACCCACCACCCTCCTGCTTCCTGATCTCCAGTTGTAGGATCTGTGGCCAGCTACAGAGTGACCAGAACGGAGTCTCAGAAGTGCAGAGATCTCTGGCTCTTCCTGGAGACAGGGCAACTCCCCAAAGACATGAGCACAGGTGAGATGGCCCCAGAGGGGCAGCAAGAAGTTTCAGGAAGACAAGCCCACGAGACTCAAATAGACTGGTCCCCTTGCCGCCTGCCAGTCTTGCTTGCCCCCAGAGGGGCTGAGGCTAGAAGGTTGAGCAGTGCATTCCCTGGAGGAAGATCCAGGAAATTAGGGTGACCCTGAGACAGAGGGAAGGGCCTTGTAAGGTGTGGGACAGGTACTAGCAATCCAAAATAGAGTGGCGGGGACTGAGACCCTGAAACCAAGTGGGTGACCCTCAGGCCTGCTTGTCCTTGGTACAGAACTCAGATTTTGTTTATTTTGTTCTTCTGAGGAAGGGTCCATTGCTCAAGCTGACCTTGAATTCCTGCTTCTACCTCCTAGGCTTGAGATTATAAGCCTGTGTAACCACACCTGACAGAAGCTCCATTCTTGTCATGATAGATCAGGGTCAGGGACCCTCAAAAACCACAGACATGAGTCAGCTGTCTCCCTTTGCCTTTTACAGATCATCCCAACTAGAAGAGCTCTGACTGCTGGGTGTGGAAGAGCTGAAGCAGGGAAAATCCTGGACTTTGACACCATCCAACTCCAGGCTGGTCCTTCCTACCTCACCAAACACACACACACACACACACACACACACACACACACACACACACACACACACACACACACACACGTGCACGAGCCCTTGAGTGTGTATGGGCAGGCCGACCTGACAACTGTGATGACCACCTGCTGCCCCAAATCCAGGACCCGCCCAGGAGTCCAGTTCAGAAAAGGGCTTGAGAGGTGGGGGCGGGGGTCTCCTCCAGAGCAGCAAGAAGCCAGGATATCAGAAAGGGTTGTATCCTGTTACACACAACTGTGGGGGTAGCAGCCTGCAAGTGGTGAAAAGACTTGTGTATTTTCTCTGGTGCTTTGGGGTCCCTTGGGGACCTCTGTGCCCCAAGTTCATGGAGAATTGTGAAGGGGTGTGGCTAATAAACAGCTTGTCCTTTTCCCACCTGAGCTCTCAAGCCAGTAAACAAGGGTCGGTGAGGTTGGGTAAAGCACCGGCTGATAAGCCTGATGACTGAGTTTAATCCCCAAGAGCCACAGGGTGGAAGGAGTAACAACGCCCACACATTGTCCTCTAATCTCTACTATGGTTTATGGGTTCCCATTACACATGCACAGGAACACATGAAATGATAAATACAGGTGTAATATTAAAAAGAAAGCCCAGGCGGTGGTGGCGCACACCTTTAGTCCCCACACTCGGGAGGCAGAGGCAGGCAGATCTCTAAGTTTGAGGCTGGCCTGATCCACAGAGTGAGTTCTAGGACAGCCAAGCCTACACAGAGAAACCCTGTCTCGGGAAAACAAAAACAAACAAACCAAAAGAATGTAGGGATGAGAAGATGTGATCATGCACCTCTGTGGCCACACAGCTGACGCTGGAGGATATGCAAGAAGTTCCTAATGCAGAATCCCAGAACTGGATGTTCCTTCCAGCCGTCTGGGCCATGTAGTTACACCGATGCCTCTCCTCCTGGAAGTCTGCAGCTATACAACACAGCAGAGGAGCAGAACACAGGCAGGAGCAGCCAGAGCCCAGGCAGGGCTTGGGCTCAGTGAGGCCCCTTCTCCAGGGAACAAGCAGCAGAGCTACACAGGAAATGGCAGGGGGAGGGGTAGTCCAGCCCCATTCAAAAGAACGGAGATGGTCCCAACCTGGGCATCAAACCAGGAGCATGAAGACTTGGCCTTGGCCTGCTCCTACACCTCTACCGAGCTTGTCAATTGGATGGTCTGTGAGAACAAAGCAGTAGGCAGAGTGGCAGCAGGCCTCACATAGTAGAAGCTTGAGCCAAGTTAGTTTTCTTATAGAAATCTAGGTAGGTGGTCTATCAGTGTGTGTGCTGCTGCCAACAACACACCACAGACTTGGGCAGATTATAATAAAAAACAATTGTTTTATCCCATGGTTCTGGAGGCCCAAGGCCCGACGGCCACTTGGTGGTGGTTGTCATTCTGGCAGAATCTCCCAGGTCATCACATGGCCAGAAACAGCACACATGTCGCTTCCTCTTCCTCTAAAGCCGTCAAGGTTTGCCCCTAGTGGCTGTACCCTGGTAACTTAAATTCTCATCACCTCTCAAAAGCCCTACCTTGAAGGACACAGTCCTGTCTTCTACCCTCTTAAACCTCACAATGGGGTGGGGGTTTGGGAGGACAAGCCATCTTCAAACCCCAGCCATGTTTTAAGAGCTGTGCTGGGGTCAGGGACCCAGGCTTCCTCCAATCGCTTCCCTGTTGTCATGGCGCCCACTTCTCAATCCAGCTCATCGTGCTGGCTCCGCCAGCTCCAGCCGCTGCATCTTCAGCCCATTTAACCAGAAGGAGAAAGAGGGAGGCGGGCAGTTCTTCCACCATGTCTGTATACACACTTCTGGCCAGGACTAAGTCACATGGTACATCTACTGGAAGGAAACCGGGGAAGGCAGCCTTGCTCTGGACAGCCATTTGTCCCACTAAAATTCAGTTCTGTATCTGAGGGAAAAGAGCCAATACTAGGGGATGTAAGTTGATTCTGCCTCAGCTGGATACCAAGCTGGGCCACCAAAAACTAGGGAGGTAAGGTGAGCAGCCATGGCCATAGCAGGTCCTTCCAGCCCTCTTGAGGATGAGGCATAGACCAGAAGGGAGGCAGGGGGGTGAACACAGAGTTCAGACTGGACAGGAAAGTGGCTAGAAGGTAAAGGATTCATGTGAGAGGACATAGGAAGACAGACACTAATGTGTCCTGTGTTATACACATGTTCTGACAACCTAACCCCCTCCCCCACAAATTCATACACTGAAGTCCTAACCCACAGGACCTCAGAAGGCAACTACTGGAGATGAGCCCTTTAATGAAGTGATTAGGGCTAACTCATGCTATGGGGACTAATCCAGTCTTTCTGGCACCTTATAAGAGGCGATTAGGACACAGATGGGCACAGAGGGCCACCCACATGAGATCACAGGAGCAGAAAGCATCTACAGCCAAGGGGAGACACAGCGGAAGAACCAGCCATGTAACACCCTGACCCAGCCTTCTAGTCCCAGACTGAAGACTAGATGCCTGAAGAGTAAGCTACCCACTGGTACTTAATTATACAGACTCACACAGACTGGGTTGCGGAAAGTGTCTGTCTCACATACCCCATGGTGTTCTGGGCTGCTGATTGCTCCTGGCACACTGCTCTAAGGGAAGGGGTAGGGTATAGATGTGTGGACTTGCTTCTGCCGATAATTTGTGATCCAAGGTCCAGGGGGCTGAGGGAGGCAGGAGTCAAGCAGGGTGGCACCAGACAGGCTGGGAAAGTTGGAAGAGATGGAACAGTGATGGGCAGAAGCTGGGGTGAGGTGCCAGGCCACCCAGTGCCTGGGCTTTGAACTAGGAGTCTGGGTTGGGGAGAGAGGTCTCACCAAGCACTGACACTGAGGTTAGATGTGGGAGGCACAGTCAAGCTACTCTGTGGTCCTGGGAGCAGGGGAGGGGACAAGCAGGGGTGGGGGGCAGTGGGTGAGGTGTTATACTAAGCCATCAAAAATTGTCCACCACCAACCACCAAGAGGTCTCTGGTGTCCAACAGAGCTCCTAAGCAGCAGCCTCAAGACTCATTTCCCTTAGGACAAGCACCCAGAAGTGACCTTGAGAAGGAAATTCTAGAAGGATGAGATTTCAGGGTTCCCTGGGCATTGAGAATCTTGGTCCCATCACAATGACCTGAAATTCCAAGGACAATCTCAGCTTCGGCTCAGTTGAGCAGGCAACTGAACAGGGAGGCTGAGAGGCACACAGGACCCCTGGAGGACTTTTAGGCCACCATGAAGGTTCACAATGAAGCAGCTGTGGAGGCACAAATACAGGAGCTAAGGACCATCACCCGGCTCCAGGGTGAGCCTCACACCGGGGACTGCCACTCGGGCTTGCTAATAGACAACTTGCCATCCTATTACCCGGCCAGGCCCCCACAGTGGGCAAAAGTCACAGAAGGCCCTGCCATGTGAGGGGAGCTCCAGGGAGATTTATACATTTACCACAATATTGTTTCAAAGTTGGAGGTATTGGAAAGTGATCTGCCTGTTTCTAGACACAGGAGCTCTGAAAGAGACAGGGGTTTCCCATCCCTGGTCTTGGTCTCACCCTCCTTACTGCCCTGCATCCATCCCTGAGGAGCCTTGTAGATTACCACTTAGAGCAGGGAAGCCTGTGTCTTCCAGAACAGGGAGGGGGAAGAGGAGAAATAGTCGCAGAGGCAATGCCATATTCCGGTACAAAACATCTCTGGATGTTTTGCTGAAATTCTCAGCCAGTGCTTTGGCCTACCGTCTGGTAATTTTGTTCCCTCCATCACCTACAGAACAATGTCGGGCGCTCCAGATCCAGGGCGTGAAGGAGAAAACAGCACAGAATAAGGCTACAATGGGCCTTCTGCGCAGCAACCTCCGTCGAGGGGCCCACGAGTGGGCTTTGGCAAAGAAGGTGCAAAAGCTCCACCCTCTTCGCAGTCTGGGGATAGGAGGTGGTGGCCCACTTAACACATGCACACATCCTAACCCTTCTCTGGACCGGAAGGCTTGCTTGGGTGGGTACTTTGAATGGTGCCCAGGGCAGGTTCCCTAACATCCACCCGGAGTGTTTAGCACCTACAGTAGGGACTACCTTGGGCTCTCTGACTTCCTTCCGGGGGGGGGGGGGGGGCGGGCCCATCACACTGGAGCAGGGATGGCCCTGGAGGGGTCCTGCGTGCTCTGCTCAGGGGTCCCAGGACCAACGGTCTCCTTGCTGGGCTAGTGGCGAGTAAAAGGCCCTGGGGGGTATGTCTGAGTACATCAGTGCCAAGGGGAACGCAAAAGGGCCAGGCTCCCAGCTCAGCCGCTGCCGCTCCACAGTATGACCAGTGGACCATCTCCAAGGCCTGCGCGAAGGACGCGTCCATGAGGCTGGCACACTGCCGCAGTTCTATGGAGGTAACGAGGCAGCGGGGAGGGTACCTAAAGGATCCCTCGTCCCTCTCAGCCCTGAGGCCCGCCCACAGTAAATGTTATGAGGCCGGCGGAAGGCGAAGCGCGTGTTCCCGTGGGGCAGCTGCGGGTCCCCTACCCGCAGCATTCCTGGGGTCCCCGCAGCGCTCCCCCTCGCACCCACGCGCGGGCACCCTCCTGGACCCAGGTGGCTCGAGAGAAGCTGCGCAAGTACGTCTTCGACCGTGTGAATGCACACAACGTGCTGATTCATCTGGCTCGTCGACGGGGACAGAAGCTGGAGAGCTTGCAGGGGGAGCTGGCCAGCCTGCGGAACCAGCCGGATGCCACCAAAGACGAGCTAAAGCTGCTGCAGGTGCCCGGGGACCGGGCGGGGGCGTGGGTCTGCGCCGGAGGGCGTGGAGATTCTGTAAAAGGGACGGAGTCCTACATTTCAGACAGGGATTCTGTATCAGGGCTGGACCGCTGATTAGGCAGGGTTCTGCCGGAAGGGCGTCTCCTTTGGTGAGGGTCTTTGTAAGAGAAAAACACTTTAGCAGGTGAGACTGGCCTCCAACAGAGGGGTGGGACTACATCAGAAGGGTGGGACCTCCGGATGGGCAAGAGCCTTTGGTTAGTCCGTGCCCTTACATGGCTGTGTACAAACAGGAAAACTTTCTAACAAAGAGCAGAAAACCGATGATCTGAGGTAATGTTTTTATCACACAGCTGTAAACATGAAGTTGGGAATCAAAGCCATTTTACACATGGTGACTGGGTGGTGGATAAGATGTACAATAATGACTTTGTCTTCAGGGCCTGGTGGCAGGGGCAGGACTAGGGGAGCCCAACACCCTTGTGTGAAAGCCCAGCTCCCCACCCCGTGCCCTCCCTTGGGCAGGGTTCGCCCCTTTCACACCTGATCGGAGGTTGTGGGGAGGTGGGTCTTTTCACCAAGCCTTTTCAATGATCCAACACCACCACTACCATCAGATTATCCGCCAGCTGGAGAACAACATTGAAAAGACCACGATCAAGATCACCACCAGCCAGAACATCCACATGCTGTACACAGACCTGCTGGATTATCTGAAGAAGGTGAGCCCCTCACCCAGGGAGTCCCACCTGCAACTCCATTGCGAGCAGCCAGCAAAGCGGCCCTAAAAGTATGTGGAAACTGCTTAGAGAACTTCATTTTTGTTGTCCCACACAAGCATATTATGGGGTACACCCAATTTGGGGGCTTAAGCCTGGGCATGGTAGCATGGTCTGTGATCTCAGCACTCAATAGGCTAAGATGGGAAGATTACATATTCCAGGCCAGCCTGGGCTACACAGTGAGGCCCCATCTCAAAAACAGATGCAAATCATCACACACACACACACACACACACACACACACACACACACACACACACACACACACACCACAAAACCACAGAACTCTTTCTTCCACATATTAAATAGTTTAGTTTGGGTCTTTGAGGGTCAGAGATGGGCTATACTCCCCTCCCAGGAAGTCCCCTAACATGGTTTGGGACAGACTCATCTCCCACCTCCCAAAATATGCTGAGCACACAGCTTCCTGCCCACTTTGGATCTGGCTACCCTGCTTTCTGTATTGGAAAGCCAGAAGGAAGCAAATTCTGGCCCATGGGAGTCCCAGGGAACCATGACCGTGTATCTCACCGAGCACATTCCCACTATGGCTCCCATAGAGCAGAGCATCTGCAGTGGAAGTGAGGGAGAAAGGGCTTCAGGGCAGCAGGGTACTGAAAGCAGCGTGGTGGGCAGGTCTGGAAAGGTGGCCAGGAGAAACCGCTAATGCCTTCGCCCTAAGAAAGGGAGGTAAATGAGTGGCGTGGCATCACTGGAGAGAAAGGGTTGGTACATGGGCAGATGCAGCAGCTTTTTGCTGCTGGAGTCATATCCCTCAGCCAGGATCTCAGCATCACACTCTGGTCTGTCCTTCTTACCTGACCCTCATGCTGGAGGCTCAACTGGAGGCCCTGCCCACCCTTCCTTCCTGTGTCCACCCCTTCCCACACTCCTTCACCTGTGTGTTCTTTGTAGAACTTTCTCTCCAGGACAAACATACTTGAATCAAATCCCCACATCTACATTTTGTAAAATCTGCAAAGACTCAGCATGTGCAGGTTTTAACAACAAAATATCAATAGCTAAGTGTCCTTGCCTACGATGCACCTAGCCTTGTGCTAAATATGCTATCTTATTTCTCCCTCCATCCTAACAGAAACCTTCCAAAAAAGTCAGGATCACCTTAGAAAGGCTAGGTGTTATCCCAAGATCACACAGCTAGGTGCTTAGACGTGGACTTCACTTTGAGCCCTATCTGGCTCCAAGCCCATCCTTCAAGCCCTTCTGTTCCACTTCAAACCAAAGATGCCCCCCAAGCAAACTCTCCTGGAGTTTTTTTGTTTGTTTGTTTTTGATTTTGGTTTTAGACAAGGTTTCTCTGTCTAACAGTACTGGCTGTCCTGGAACTCTCTTTGTAGACCAGGCTGACCTCAAAATCACTGAGATCTGCCTGCCTCTGCCTCCTAAGTACTAGGATTAAAGGTGTGCATCACTAACGCCTAGCTCCCTCCTGGGTTTTGGAGTTGGCCTTTGCTGGGGTAAAGTCACATCCTCTTGTCCTGGGTAGTGAGAGTCCATAGGTCACCAATGGCTATCCAAACTAGAACACTTCTTTCTCCTTCTCTGTGACTTGCCCAGAGGCTAGGCCACAGACAGAACCCCTATCCTATCCCCAGGGCTCACACAGTCTGGGAGTGAAGGATGGAAGAGAATCAGAGGGCTCAGGAAAGCCAGCAATAAGGTATGATGGCACCAAAGGAGCCCATGGCTTCATGACCTTGTTGCCTTTGCCCATACTGATAGGTGCTGGCAGGCTACCCCACAGAGCTAGACAAACTTCAGAACCTGGTGACCAACTACTGTTCGGAGCTGTCAGATATGACAGCCATGTCCCAAGATGCCATGATGATTACTGATGAGGTCAAGGTGAGTCCCGGGATTGGGGAGCCATCAATAGCTGGCTCGCCTGATCCTGTCTTGTTCAGGACCTATCTGGATCCTATGCCTACACTACCCATCATCCCTGGAGAAATCCATTGTTAGCCCTACCAGCTGATCTGCTCACCCAGGAGACAGAGAAAGTCAATTTGGGCACAGAGGCCATAATAGATGTGGCCAGGACAATGGGCGTCTATTCACCTTGGCACTACCAAGATCCCTGTCTCTAGGGAGATAGGACTAGGGATGCCAGCAAGCCCCGTCCTCCTGAAATGGGCAATTCTTCTAGTAGTCCACCTCATCATATCTAGGTCAGTATGGCAGACAGAGGCAACGGGTTTCAGAAGTCTCTAGGGTAGCTTTCCAAGGAAATATGCTTGAATGGGCTCTGAAGGACCAGTGAAGTCCAGAAGTAATCAGAGCTCAGAAGGAGAAAGGGCAGAAAAGCCAAAGCTGTTGCCACATGTGAGTGCACAGAAATTGACATAGCTTCCCTGCATGAGTCAGTGGAGGCTATAGGGTCCTCAGGCTCACAGCCTCGGAGAACACAGAGGGACACATGACCACATTGTGCTTTATGCCAGGTGTGGTAGTGCACGCCTTTGATCCCAGCACTCGGGAGGCAGAGTCAGACAGATCTCTGATTTCGAGGCCAGCCTGGTCTATGGAGTGAGTTCTGGGACAGCCAGGGCTACACAGAGAAACCCGGTCTTGAAAAGAAAAGGGGGAAAAAAACCACCACAGATTGTGGGGTGTTTGTTTGTTTGTTTGTTTGTTTGTTTGTTTTTAGAGACAGAGTTTCTCTGTGTAGTTTTGGTGCCTGTCCTGGATCTCGTTTTGTAGACCAGGCTGACCTCGAACTCACAGAAATCCTCCTGGCTCTGCCTCCCGAGTGCTGGGATTAAAGGTGTGCACCACCGCCGCCGCCGCCCGGCCAGATTGTGTTTTATAATGGCACACATAACTTCAGGTGCCAGAAGTTGCCAGAGCAGAAATACTGACTGTGTGGCCAGGCCAGTAGTAGAGTGGGGGTGGCCAGAAGTAGACAGGGCAGGGAAGTCTTTAAGGGGTGACCACAGTGAGCTTTAGTGATAGGAGTGGGTGAGAGAAAGAGAGCAGAAGGAAGGAGTGAAGGATGATAGTTTCAGCCACAAAAGCAGAATGGAGGAGAGACCAGCTTTGAGAATTAAAGGGGTGAATTACTTTTAGATATGTTAAATCCAACTTAATGGGTTCTAAGTGGAACAGGCCAGGAAGCAACTTAAGGCAAGGGCCTAGAGGAAAGAAGAGAGCCTGGGCTAGAGGGAAAGTCAGTAGGCATGTGTTAGCCAGGAGTCTGCACCACAGAGGCAATGGGGTACCCAAGAGGACAGTGGGAGAAGTAAGAAGAAAAGAATGGCCAGCTTCCTTCCACCGTCCAATAAGATGAAGACTGGAAACTGGCCACTGGCTTTAGAACCACGGGAGGACCCTTGGTGAGGCAGTATCCCCATTGAATCTCTATGTCCCCAGAGGAATATGAGGCAAGGGGAGGCGACCTTCATCGAGGAGCGAAGGGCACGAGAGAACCGGCTGAATCAGCAAAAGAAGCTTATTGACAAGATCCACACCAAGGAGACCAGCGAGAAGTACCGCCGTGTACATCTTAAGTCGTACCCCATGGCTCTCCTTACCCACTGGGGGAAGAGCTGGGAGGACCCTTCAGTTCTCATTCTCACCTGCTTCTTTCTCCCATCAGGGCCGGAGGGACTTGGATTTCCCCTCCAATCTGATGAGTATGGACACCATGAAGGGTGAGTCTCAGCTCCTTGCCTTGTACGGCCAAGGTCTCCAGTAGCCGGCAATGACTGGGACTGCCCGGCCAGGTACCATGAGGCCAGTGGTCACTAGGGTGAGGAAGACAGACAGCCCCTGCCTCTTCCCTGACTGTCCCTGAAGAATCTGAGAGCCTATGGCACAAGGTGGCTGCAGAGATGCTATCTCTAGCGGCTAGAGCTCAGTCACCCAGTAACATCTCAGAACTGCTCCCCAGAGCCACATGCTGCAATTCTGCTCCTGGTCCTTGTTTGTCCTTGTGTTTCCCAAGGTACTCTGAAGGGTCAGGCTGGGGAGAACAGGTACAGGTCACATGAGGGCACCCAACACCCTAGGGGTCTTCTCTGAAGCCTGAGTGTCTGTAAAGCCATCAGAGAGCCATTCCTACACACCGACTAGGCCCTCCTTCTCTGTTCTGCCCAGTGAGGAAAAGAGAAACTTCCATAGCAGACATGGAATACCAGACAGAAGTGACTGCTTTGGTCGAGAGGGTCAAATCTGCTGTGCAGTGCTCCCACCTCTGGGTAAGTCTCCCTGGCACTGGGAGGGTGACTAAGCTGGGCCAGGGCCTGGGGTGCTCTGCAAAAAGTTCACAAAGCTTAACCTCCCCTTGGACATTCCCAAACATGATGCTCCCAAGCCTGGAAAAAGTCTGGGTTTTTTGAGGTATGAAGATACCCCCAGCATATGGATGGCATGTCCCCACCATATCCTACGTACAGGACAGAGTCTGCCAGAATTTGAAAGTCCAAATGCTAAGGACCTGGCCTCTCACTACAGCTCTAGCCCCTTCCCAGGTTGACAGCCACAGTGAACAACTGTCATAGACCTACCTGAGTTTCCACTGTCAGGCCTTGAGCTCCCAGCCACAGCATCTTGACTGAAGGTGATACATGGTCCCTTCATGGTAGATGGGGTTGCTTACCCTCTGCCTGTCATGAAAGCTATGTATCAGGACATATACAGGTTACCCTTCTGCCCAGCCCCTCATAAGCCTTAGCGCCCAAAAAGTATTCAGTGTCATGACTGGGCCCCAAGTACTGAGAAGCTGCACTATTCATTGGGAGGAGCCCAGGAGAAGGCAGGGCTATGAGGCCCTACGGCCTTTCAGGCCCACACCTGTTATTCTCTGCCCTGGACTGGTTAGGACATAGCTGGCCGCTTCCTGGCTCAGAAGAATACAGAGGAGAACCTGGAGCTACAGATGGAGGATTGTGAGGAGCGGCGGACCCAGCTGGAGGCCCTGATGAAGAAGCTGGAACTGGAAGAGGCACTGCTCAAGTTCCACCAGATACCCAGCTCTGCTGGGTATGTTCCAGGGCTGCTGGACGGCCCCGCGGGTACAAGCTAGTAGCTGTACATATTGATTGCCAATAACCCTGGGCATCTGAAGAAGAGCTAAGGACTCAACCGGCTTGGGGCTGACTTCATGAGCCCCTGAAGCTGATACAAGCCCTGGTGCAGGACCCCCGTGGGCCCTGAGTACTGTCCTGCTCTTACTGCTGTGCTTACCTCCTCCACAGCTTTAGTTCTATTGAAAAGAAGATGAAGAGCATGCTAGAAGAGGAGGAAGCAAGGCTCCAGCTGGCCCACAACAACATGACCAAGAGCCAGCAGCTACTACTGGCCATTCAGACAGGCATTGACAACCTCTACATCCGGCTCATCGGCATCACCTTGCCAACTACCCAGGTACCAGCCCTGGGGGCGGGGGGGAGCTGCTGTGCACAGGGTCCTCATGTGGGGCCACCAGAAAAACAAGCTGCTCCTCTGGCCTACAGAAACAATTATCAATATCTGACACCCTTGATGTGTATGGCAAGCTGGACTATTGCGAGGGGAAGCTCACATATCTGGCTGACCGCATGCAAACGCAGTCCAGAAATGAGGAGGTAGCCCTGGGCCATGGAGGGGTACCCACAAAACCCATGTCCTCTCCAAGCTGATAAGGGTGCTGCCCTGCAGGTCGACACAAAGGTGAAGGACGCCCTGGAATCATCGACTCTAAAGGAGAAACATAATACCAGAATTACCTTTGAGGACCAAGAGGAGGACATGATAGGTGAGGCCCTAGATGTCAGCCACAGGGAGGAGATGGAAAATGGGGAACAGGGACGATAGCTGGAACTAACTCAAGGCAAGAGATGGTATACACTGTCTGACTAGAACATACTGGCAGACTACGTGCTAAGGGAAAGGTTTTAATAGAGGTGACAGAGGTTAACCTTTATGAGAATTTATTATTTTTTTCTGAGACAAAGGGGCATACCATGGTATGGGCCAGAAGGGAGCTCAGACCAGACCTTTAGTGGAATTTCTGCCGCAAAGGCAGGGTAGGATGAACAGAGAAGGATGGCTAGTATGGGTGATCCTGGCATATCCTGGTTCCTTGGCACCTGGCCTTGGGTGACTTAGGGCAGGGGTCAGATCACAGAGAGTCTTCAGTCATCAGTCCATCTGTGAGATGAGCTCCAGACGCAAGAGAAGGCCCAGAGAAGCAAAAAAGCAAACGGGTAAGGGTGGGGAGGGGGGTCGGTCTCTGGAAAGTCACTCCTTTCTTGTCTGTGCAGAAACCTTCCAGTTTGCGGACGTGGACCATAGCTACGTCCCTTCCCGGGCCGAGATAAAAAAACAGGGCCAACGGCTGATCGAGGGGAAGCTCAAGGTGTCCAAAAAGAAGAAGAAGTAGCCCGGGCCGGGCTTTCGTACACAAATAAACATTTTTCCAGAACTACTCTAGAGAAACGAGAAACCCACTGGACTTTGAGGGCGGGAAGGCGGGGCTTGGACGGTGAGGGGAGGGGCTGCTCGAAAGGGGCGGGATCTAGTGCGCCCGCTGCGCATGCGGCGTCTACGTGTCCCTCTCGGCGCTCCGTAGCTGCGCCGGCGCCAAGATGGCGGCGCTGACGGATGCTTGGCCGCCGCGCCGAGGGCCACGGGAGCCGGAGCGGAGCCACAGAGGCTAAGGCCTCAGAGCCTCCCTCGAGGCCGCTCCCACCGTCGGGCCTCGGCTTGTGGCCGCGCCTGCCCCGACCTCGCAGGAAGCCTGGGCCGGCCGGACATGGTGCGAAGCGCGCTGCACTGCTGCTGCTGCTGCTGCCGCCGCTGCTGCCCCTGAGCTCGCGGGCCGCACCCGGCTCGCACGTCCAGCAGGAAGATGTTCTCGGCGTTGAAGAAGCTGGTGGGGTCGGAGCAGGCCCCGTGCCGGGACAAGAACATCCCCGCCGGGCTGCAGTCCATGAACCAGGCGCTGCAGAGGCGCTTCGCTAAGGGGGTTCAATACAACAGTGAGTGCGGGCCGCGCCGTCGGGCAGGCCGGGGCGGCTGGCGGTAGCTGGGGGTGTCCACCCAGCCCTAGAGGACCGGGGTGGACGGGGTCCCTGGGCTCTGATTAATGGTCGCTCCTTAAGGGCCGTCACCTGACAGGAGACCTCCAGAGGAGAGCTGTGCAGCGACACTGGCGGAGCAGCGGTGGAGGACCCTGATTGGCGCGGGTACCCTGCCGACAGAGACCATTACATAACACGAGGGTGCACGCGCGGGTCTGTGGCTAGTGGCTGCGTGCCGCCTGCCTCCCCTCCGGACCCCGGCGCGTGCTCGCACTTGAACCTCCTGCAAGTCGGTCGGCGCTGGCATTGAGCCGTGGGATTTTTTGTTGTTGGTCACTTCGAAGCCGGTTTGCAAACAATAGCCACCATGCCACACGTTCTCACCTTTTTTTTTTTTTTTAAAAGAAGAGTTTTGTAAGGGATATATTTTTTAAAAGTTCCAAAAGGCACTAACTGCATCCCTGGCCCCACAGAAAGAAAGGTCCGCTCTATCCTTCGTTATAAATTATGTATGTATGCAGCTAGAAGCGGACCGTCCTCTTGACCTCCTTAGACTTTTTCCATTTGCGGGCTCTTTTCTAGGCAGTCCCCTGGTCTGACATTGTTTACTTCTCAACTGTTTGTATACTGCTAGGTTTTTGACCCACACTCCCCCAACACACTACGTACTGCTCACTTTAATCGGTGTCTTTCATGGTCAGTGATAGTTGGGTAACATTATGACCTGTATTAGGAGCAAGCACTTCATACCTGTTAACTTGAAAGTTTGTATTTCTCTTGAATCTACAGAAGAGAATATTAAGTCGAAATATTCAGAGGTTTGTGTTCTTTGGAATCTACATTTGGATTCCTTATTTAGTTTTATATAGTATTACTTGAAACCTAATCCTAGAAATAAGGTCTGAACTGGAAGTTTCTCACTTTCTAAACCTGCTCCCTACTGACCCCGCCCCCTGGTGGTCCTGATAGGAGGGACCTAAAAGAGCTGCTCTTCCAATTTTCTGAGCTATCTTACTTAGAGAAACAAACCAGTCGTATAATAAATACAGATTCACAATTCTTGTGAGTAAGAGGCACAGTTAACTTGATGCTTTCCAAACTTTTAATTGTCTATTATAGAATGCTGTCCTCCAGGGTCACAACAATCTTTTTTTTTTTTTTTTTTTTTAATGTGTCAAACTAATAATAACTCAGACAGGGTGTGGTGACACATGCCTTTAATCCCATTACCTGGGAAACAGGGACAGGTGGATTTCTGTGAGTTTAAATATGTCCTTCCTGGTATATCTATGGAGTTCCGGACAGCGTGGGCTGCACAGTAAGACCCTGTCTCAAAAAAGCCATAGAAAAAGAGCAAACTCCAAGAATTCCAGCGTTTTGACATACCCGCAGATCACCACATCATTGTGAGTTGTCTAAATTTCAAAAGCAAAAAGAGGAATCTATGCAACCAGAGTAGAGAGACCATGTTCCAGAGAACTGATGCCAGAATGCTGCTGTTCAGTGTGTGATTGACAACTTGCTGAACAAAGATTCCTGCAAAAGTAAATACTGAGGGGTATTCTTTAGATAAATGGAACTTAAGCTGAAAAGATAGGCATGGGATTAAAAAAAAAAGCAAAGGTAAGCAAAGGAATGGGTCCATATGTGGTAAGCCCTTAAATAAGCAGTGATTATACTAGTCATGGATAATAATGGTTTTTATGGGCAATTGGTTTTTTGTTTGTTTGTTTTTTTCTTTTTCACAATATTGAAACAGTTGGAGTCAGCCCCTAGTACAGAATGGAATTGATCAGAATTAAGGCATTCAGATTTGGGAAGGAGGGGTCCGAGACAGGATATTACCATGTATGTAGCTTTGACTGTTCTGGATCTCACTATGTAGCCCAGGTTGGTCTCGAACTTGTAGATACCCACCTGCCTTTGCCTCCCAAGTGCTGAGATTAAAATGGTACACCACTGCAGCTGGCATGGCATTCAGAAATTTGTTAACCCTAGATAGTAAGTGTGAATGTTAAAATGTAGATCCAACTCTTCCAACTGTATGCCAGGCAAAATGAGGAAAAGTTTTGCCAACTTAATAAAAGGCAGAGATGGCTGGGAGGAAACTATAATAGTAACTTAAAAAGTACTATTTTAAAAAATATATTTATTGGGGCGATGTGCATGTGTTGGTATACATGTGACAGTCAGAGGATAGCTTGTCGAAGTTATTTTTCTCCTGCCATATGACTCCCGGGGATCAGATAGGGTCGTTAGGCTTGGTGGCAAGCGCCCTTAACTGCTGAGCCATTTCTTCAGTGTCACTTTTTTCTCTCTTTTCTGTTATTGGAGATTGAACCTAGGTTCCCACTGAACTAGTACACTACTGCTGAGCTACATCCCCAGCTCCTAAAAAATTCCTGAATAACTCCATTTCTTTTAGTAGTCACAATGCAATCAAGAAATTGAGGGTGGGGGAATTCCCTCTAATTGGGCAGTGTGATCTTTGAAAGATACATTTAGGCCAGACGGTGGTGGCCCTTGCCTTTAATCCCAGCACTTGGGAGGCAGAGGCAGGCGGATCTCAGTAAGTTCAAGGCCAGCCTGATCTACAAAACAATAGGACAGCCAGAGCTGTTACACAGAGAAACCCTGTCTCAAAAGAACAAAAAGATACATTTAGAATATAACAGCAAAGGGTTGAAATAAAAGAAAAGGATCCTGGGTATGTCTGACTACAAGAAGACTGTCCAACTATGGTCTGGTCAGCTGTAGGTTCAATATTGTCATGCAACATACACTTTGAGGTGATGAGAATGAGTTGTAGTAAGAGAGGTGAAGGTCTCTATTTTTTGTTTTGTTTTGAAATAGAGTCTTACTATTCTGCTCCATTTGTTGAACTTGTGTGCTCATCTGGTCTTCCTGTATCAGTCCCTGAGTAGCCGAGACTACAGGCATCTACACCCAACTCTCAGGTTTCTTTTTGAAGCTTAAAAGTTGTTCTTTATTCTCCAGTGGCTACATTTGGGACGGTCAACTTATGAAAAGTAAAAGTTTGGCACTCTGGCAGCAGAGGCAGGTAGAACTCTGTGAGTTGGAGATCTGCCCGGTCTACTTTAGCTCTGCAAAGAGTAGAGGGGCATGTAGATTCCGTTCATGGCCTCTTGGCCTGTTGCTTTGAACCTGTGGCAGCACGTTATTGTGGGAATGCATGGTGAAGCAAGACCACTCAACGTGTGGCATTGAATATGTGCTGTAGGGAGAGAAACCAAGTTCAGATTCCACTTTTTTTTTCCAAACCCGTACAATGTGTGGTTTACTTGCATGTACTTGCACGTACATCTGTGCACCATGTGCTTGTTTAATACCTGTGGTAGCCCTAAAAGGGCATCGGATGCCCTGGAACTAGAATTACAGGCAGTTGTAAGCTGCCATGCAGGTGCTGGGAATTAAAGCTAGGTCTTCTGGAAGAGGCTTTTAACTACTTAGCCATCATCTCTCCAGCCCTAGGTCCCACAATTTAAAGGTGACCTCCTAACAGCATCATGTTAGGACCAAACTTTTAACACATTGGCTAGAGTTGGGGGGATTTAAGATCCAGATGGTAACAGTTTCCAAATAGTTTATGAGTCTGAAGAAATTACTTGGAAATTAGAAAGTACTTTCTGTGAGTGTGGTGGTGCAAGCCTTTGATCCCAGCACTTGAGAGGTAGAGGCAAATCTGGTCTACATATCTAATTCCAGGCCAACCAAGGCTACATAGAGAGACTGTCTCAAAAGAAAGGGATGGGGGTCTGGAGACATAGCTTAGGGGTTAAGATACTGGCTGTTTTTCCAGAGGACTCAGGTTCAATTCCCTGTACCCACATGCCAGCTCACAACAGTTCTAGGGGATCTGACACCTTTTTCTCCTTAGGAGCCTGCATACACTTGAGGCACATAAACTCACACAACCACACATACATACGCATAAAAGTAAAAGGTCTTTTGGTTTTGGTTTTGTTTTGTTTTGTTTTCCGAGACAAGGTTTCTCTGTGTAGCTTTGGAGCCTGTCCTAGAACTCGCTCTGTAGACCAGGCTGGCCTTGAACTCACAGAGATCCATCTGCCTCCCAAGTGCTGGGATTAAAGGCGTGTGCCACCACTGCCTGGCAAGATTTTCTTTTTTCTTTTCTTTTTTTTTTAAAGCAAAACACAAAGAATATATCTAGGGCTGGAAAGATGCTTGGTGGTTAAGAGTGCTTGTTGCTTTTCAGTAGGACCTGAGAGAGACTTTATTGGAGTTTACAGTGGCAGCAGGCAGGTGGGCATGACCCTGAGAACTTACATTTTATCCACAAGCAGCAGGCAGAGACACTGGACCTGATACAGGCTTTGAAACCTCAAAGCCCAATCCCAGGGACACACCTCCTAATCAGTCCAGC